ATTAGATCATTTAATTCCTAATCTTCAAAATTCTGCAAAGAACAAGAGTGAAGCACAGAAGGGTTTGCTGCTCAGCAACAAATCACAGCAGTCAGGATGAAGGAAAGGGGACATCAATTGTGGAAAAGGGTACACATGCATAAAAACTCCTAGTAAGACATAAGCCAAGATCAAACACTTCAAACATTCTGTGTTCAACCCACACTTTCTTCCCTTTTTCTATCAAGCCCCTCACAAGTGCAGGTATCAGCCCATGTCCCCCTCATCTGCCCAGTTCAGAGCTCCCTGCAGGCAGATGTTCCAGTCCCAAATTATCCAACATTTACCTCAGAACTATGTTTCCCTTTCCTGTAAACAAAATGTTTTAATCCCAACAGTCCTGATCACGCTGCACGTTGTGCTGGACCATTTACAACAGAAAAATTACTGTTAGAAATCCATCTTTCCTGAAGAAGAACCTAGGCCCTGCTGCTGCAGGAGAGAGCAACAGCTCCAGACTGTGAGAGTGAGATGCACCTTGCACCTGTGGAGACCCGACAGAGCACGTCTGAAACGTGTCCATCAAATCCACTTGCTGCCACAAAGTGAGCAGACTTCATAACATCTCACCTTCTTCCTAAAATAAATGATCCTACAGCCAAAGTCACCCATTTCATTTTCCTCTTTTCCATTTCCCCACGCAGCCAGGAGCTGCCTCTTGCTCCTTGGTGTTCCCAAGAAGGAGTTAACTGGGCTGGAGAGGCTGTTCCTGCTCCCTTTCCCAAGCAGGCAGCTGGCTGCTGCACTGCAGCCCCGGTCCAGTTTTCAGGGGAAGATGCAGGCAGGCCAGAAGTACAGGCTGGCAGGCTGCAGAGCTTGGAAAAAAGCACCCAAGGGGAGGCTGAGAGCTCGGCAGAGCAGCCAGGGCAGCGTTCTGGGCACACACCGCCAGAGCAGCACAAGGAAACGCTCGGCCCGGCCACCTGGAAAATCTGAGCCCTGGGAAAGGACTGCGAGGGGATCCGGCCAGGGAAAACCAGGGGGGGAGCGGCAAAAAGGGAAAGAAACGGCAGGAGGATTAAACACTTCGCCCTCTGAAGCGGCTTTCAGCATGTCTGGATGCAGCAACTGATATGGAAAGTACTGGTTAATGCATTAAATGAAGAGCAGGGTTATAAATGGCACGCTGGGGTGCAAGCAGCCAGCTTTTCCAGACAGTGGATTAAATGAATTCAGAGTTTGGGTCTGCACGTTACCAACCCCGCGCACAGGCTGTGTCCAAGAGTTCCTTTGAACCAGATTTCTTTCCACAAATGCAAAGCGTAGTAAAAATGAAACAAAAAAAAAGTAAAATACAGTTTCAAGCCTTTGTTGCTCGACCAAATATTAATGGTGGTGGTAAATGTAATGAAAGCCCCAATCTTGTAACTACTTGCAGCTGTCTGTTTTTATTCAAAGGAACTGGTAAGACCCTTGTCAGTTTGGGAACCACAGCTCATACTACAAGACTCTCAGCATTTCTTACACAATCCTACTGGAATTCAGTTAAATATCAGAGAACGAGAACCTATCGAAAATGTAAATTAAGCAGCACTCACAAAACGAGTGTTTCTGCAAAGTTACCTTGATTCTTTTGGATCAGAGGAACATAAACAGCACAATGCTCACTCAGACTATAAAAAACCCCTGAGGTGATGCCAGCCAGGTGCTGGAAAAGTATCTCTAGCACAAGTAAGTATTATTTTCCTGCAGTTGTGCAGAGATGTGCAACAGGTGACTAATCCATTGAGTTAGAGCGGTTCACTGATTTCAGTACTGCACACAACACATCTTGCCTTCAGCATGTCAGAAGGACCCCGAGACAGAGGTGTGGTAGAGGCAGGAGGCACTCCTGGCATGTGCCCCCACCTGCCTGCCTGGCAGAGCAGCCAGCTCTGTGCTCTGATTGATTTGCAAGCAGCGTGACCCCCTTTTGCACCAGAGAACACAAAGATGAAGGCTCAGATTCAGGGAGACAGATGGGTTTCTATGCACAAGTATCAGATGCTGACTGATCCCAGCAGAAGGTGAGTAACCCAATACTTTTGAAGAACTGGGCCTAAATTTAAACAGGAAATTGGAAGCATTCTCTCAAGTCAGGAGCTGATACTGTAACACTGGGACTCTCCTTAATTAAAAACAAAATTAAAAAAAGGCAATAATTAAATTAGGCTGCAGCATCTCTAACAAAGGAAGAGACGTAACTTCAGATGTAACTGGACACTGAATGGAATCTGTGCAATTTTCACGTGTTCAGAAATGTCCAGAAAGTCAAAAGACAGACAAGGAATGCAATGAATTTTCCCCTCTCATGCATGAGGTACTAACAAAGTCAGTGCTGATGGACCCTACAATCTCAGTGCCATCAGCATCCTGCAGCTATGCCAATGCTCACACCTATTTCCTCTGAATCACTACAATTATTGGAAAAAAAGGTGATCCAGACAAGCACAAGGAGAAACAAATCCTGCACTGACACACTCTCACTTGTAGCTGATGGAGGGCAGGGTTGACTCTTTTCCAACCAAACAAAAAACCTTCCCTAACTAACAAAGCCACTTTTTTTTTTTTTTTGCCTGTGTAACTGTGTGCAAACCATGCCTAATCCAATAGTAACCCTCACTTTTATGGTCACAGATTTTGGTTTTCCAACATTAGGCAAGAGTACAGGGAATGTTTAAGTACACATGGAGCAGGAGCACAGCACCTCCACCAGCCCCCAGTGCCAGAGCTCCTCACCACAGACCTTGTTCTCATCTGAACTCCCTGAGAGCTTTAAAAATAAAAACCACCCAAACCAAACCAACCAAACAACAACAACGACGAAAAACCCCAATCCCAACATTCTGACGAAAAATACTTCTCTTTTGAAGGCACGTGACACAAACTTTGCTGCTGCATTTCCTCAACACACGGTAGTTAAAAATTAAAGGAAAATAAAAATAAAAGAAACACTGGAAATAAGTGCTGCTGATGATGAGTTGGGGCTGCCTCTCTGAAAGGTTTTTGCAAATGAAGACATGTGCTTAATAAATGGATACTCAAAGTGAACAGGACTGGAAGTGAACACAGCTTTCCACTGTGACCTCACCACTGACAGGATCAGTCTGCAAAACATGAAACAGTTTTTCCCCTCTTTCAATCCTGGCACAAAACCCCAAACAAACTGAACCTTCCCAAAATCTGAACACGGTCATGAAAGGCAGTTCTAAGCAGTAACCAATCTCACCTCCAAAAAAACCCTGTATTTTAAGTAGAACACACCTTCCAGGGTAGGTACATACTTCTAAAACTAATTTTATTTGTACACCGGTGCTTTCCCGTTCACCTCTAGTTTAAGGTAGTTTCTAACTGTTCTGCCTCACCAAAGCACTTTATTTTCCGTTTCCATCTCCAGTGGGTGTTTTTTCATACCCACACACCCAGCCACCTCCTGAGTAAACTCCAGTAGTCATGGCACGGGCTCAAAGATGCACAAAGTCGAAGCCAAATCCAACACACGGTGCCTCAGGCATGGGAATGTTCCTTCCCAATAGCTTTCCACTTGACAAACAACTGCCAGGTACCAATTACTGCTCAGGGCTAAGAAAAATTCCTGACAAAGTTTAACTCCAGGACTACCTTCTTCAGAATCACCTTGTTCTGGTGCTCCATTTGCCTTCCAGGTGCCAAACTTTTTTACCAGATAGAAACTCTACACGTTAAACGCATGGATGCAGCTGACAAGGTATTTAATTTACGTGCAGCCCAAGGGGAAAAATAAATTGTAAAATAAAAATAACGTGCCAGAATTGATTCAGGGTTGTTTTTTTTTTCTGGAGAGTTTTCCATGATTCTCCACACTGGAGTGAATATATAAGTGAATACCTGGAATTTTGGTTGTACAGAGGCAGGTGACAAAGAAAACCGTGGTTGCAAAAAGATGTGAGTTCACACTGAAACCTGGTAGGTTAATGCTCTTTTGACACAGATTAGTTACACAAGCTGAATACCAACAGCACAAACTGTTAAAATCCTTTTAAATAGGAATAAAAACTGCAAACAGAGTAAAGGCTGCCCGTCCCTGAGCAGTGCTCCTGAGGAGCAGCTGCCAGCACAAGCTGCTCACACACTGATGTACCCAGTTTCCAGCCACAAGCCCAGTTTTCCACACCTATACAAACAAAAAGGCTTATTTCTCTGTAAAGACTTAAAATATCCCCCCCCAAGAAAAAGGTATGCAGAAATTTTTGCACTAGTAACACTTTTATGAGTCTATCACCAGCCACCTGACAGAAGTGTTACTCTCCAGCATTACAGTAGTGGGCAACATTCCAGTCAAAATGATGATTAACAAAAAAACCACTGTACCGGAATCCTTCTAACAATTGGAGTTTTTCAACACGCAGTTTATAAACCCACATAAAAATGGTTCTTCTGTGGTTTGTAGCCAGAATATACCCTCTGCTCTCAAAATATCAACTTCACTGCTCCAGTTTGGAAGCGTGGAAAATAAAGAGGAAGGAGTTAAAGGCCAGTCCCTCTGCTCAGTGAACGCTGTGTGACTCGCATGCCATCCTCAAGTTGTAGGTCACGTGAACCAAGAGGTGGATTAGAATCTTATCAGCCACGCAAATTTATTCCAATTTTTGGTTATGAGCACGATTTAACAGCAGAACGAACCTTTGTGCCCCTCGGTGGAAATCTGGGAAAGCATTTACAGTCATCCCGTTTTCCAGTAAGTTCTACAGTCGTGATTCAGCCTGTATCACACCATACATCCTGCAAATACATCCCTCGGACACCGAACTGTGCCCAGGATCTGCCAGGCTCCCGAGCCTCCTCTTCACTCACCACATGACCGTGTCACGTACAAAAGAAAATTTCCCAAGGTCAACAGGGGGAGGGAAGGAAACGATTTCTCACAAGGAAGCAAAAACACACAAGAAATAAAACGTTAAAAAAAATAAAATAACCCCAAGACAGCGCCTGCCCACACTCACATTTGCAGCATGACTTCGTTCAGATGCACTCCATCCACCAGCGCCACATATTCCTCCAGGTTGGTCCCGTTTCCTCCAGCTAACGGTCCAAATGTCTTCACCTAAAACATAACGCTCATCATCACCACCCTGACATTAACTCCACCTCGCTCTCTGCCGCAAGGCACTTCTCGTCAAACAATGAGCAAATAAAACGAGTAACGTGGGAGGCAAAATGAACGCTTACCCAGGTGACAAGAGGGCTCGACATGAACTGCTCCAGAAGGGGTGTGAAGATCTCGTTCTCCATTTTACGAAAAAATGCTTAACATCAATGCAGCTCCTCCGATGCAAAAAAATTATAGAAGTCCTCCACTGCAGCAACTCTCTGGAATGCTCCGAGGATTCAGCTGGAGCGAGCGAACCCCATTTTTCCAGGCGATGCAACAGCAATAAAAAAGTCAGTGCAGGGGCAAGCGGGATTTATCCTCCTCTTTCATGAAAAAATGCATCTGCGAGTCCATCTACGCGTATTTCAGCCTTTCCATTGATGCCTGTCCCTCCCTACATAGCGGAGGGGTGGAAGGAAGGAAGGAAAGAAAAGAGGGAGGCTGCCTAGCTACTGGGATTCTGCATCAGACAAAAAAAAGAGAGGAAGGGAAAATCTGCTTCAGCGGCGGCAGCGCCTCAGAAAGGAAGGAGAAATTCCAGCAAAACTCCGCAAGCTCATCCTGCCCCTTCCCCACACAAAAAAGCCCCGAGGGCGGGCGAGGGGAGCAGCGAGGGCAGAGCCCCCCGCCCCTCTCACGGCCAAGCCCCCCGGGCTGCGGCTGCACCAGAGCCCCGCTGCCCCCCCCGCCACGGCACGGCCGGGGAGTCACCGGGGGCTATTTTAAACCGCTTCCCTTTTCTACCCCCTTCCCTTTTCCACTAAACTGCGCCTCCGGAGCGCGGCAGGACCGGCACACGCCGCCCGGCCCCTCAGCCTCGCCCTTCCCCCGCGCCGGCCGCTCCCCTCAGGCTCCGCTCTCCCCTCGCCGCGGCCGGAGCCCCCCCGGACCCCTCCCCAGCTATTCTCCCGCCGCTCCGCCGCTCCCGCGGCACCGGCTCCGCTGCCCACCGCCGTCGTGCCCGCAGCGGGGCCGCCTCGCCTCAGCCCGCGCGGCCGCGCCGCATCGCTCGCCCCCTCCTCGCCCTGCCTCCCTCACGCCGTCCCTCCCGCCCGCCGCTCTCCCTGCCCGCGGCGGGGCCGCCGTGTGGATCCCTCCGCCCGCAGCCGCGTATCCCTCCGCCGCCGCGCGGGGATGGCGGCGCGATCAGAGAGGGGCGGGGCCGCCGGGGAACCGCTGCAGGACGCGCGCCCGGCGCGCGCGCGCGATGCGGTGCGGGCAGAGCCCTCAGAACCTCCCAACCTCAGAGCCCCGAGCCCTCAGAGCCTCCTCCGCCCACCTCCCGGGGAATTAACGGGCCCCTGAGGGAAAGGCTCTTCCGCTCACTCACCTCCCGGGATGAATAAACGTGCCCCTGAGGGACGATGCTCTTCCATTCCCCAGTGGGGAATAAAGGTGCCCGTGAGGGAAAAACTCGTCGCGGGAGGGATAGTCTCCGTTTCCCTCAGGAGAATAAAGGTGCCTGTGAGGGGAAAAGGGCGGGAAAGAGATGCTATTCCATTCCTCTTAGGGGAATAAAAGTACCTGTGAGAGGAAAAACTCGGAGCAGGAGGGAGATGCTCTTCCATTTCCCAGTTGGCGAATAAAGGTGCCCGTGAGGGTAAAAGGGCGGGAAGGAGATGCTATTCCATTCCTCTTAGGGGAATAAAAGTACCTGTGAGGGAAAAAACTCGTCGCGGGAGGGATATCCTCCGTTTCCCTCAGGAGAATGAAAGATGCCTGTGAGGGGAAAAGCGCGGGAGGGAGGGAAATGCTCTTCCATTCCCCTCTTGGGGAATAAAGGTGCCCGTGAGGCGAAAAGGGCGGGAAAGAGGTGCTATTCCATTCCTTTTAGGGGAATAAAGGTGCCTGTGAGGGAAAAACTCGGCGCAGGAGGGAGATGCTCTTCCATTTCCCAGCTGGGGAATAAAGGTGCCCGTGAGGGAAAAACTCATCACAGGAGGGATATTCTCCATTTCCTTCATGAGAAATGTGAGGGTGAAAGTGCGGAAGGGAGGGAAATGCTCTTCCATTCATCTCATGGGAAATAAAGGTGCCTGTGAAGGAAAAACTCGTCGAGGGAAAGAGATGCTCTTCCATTCCCTTCCTGCGGAATAAAGGTAGCCGTGAGGGGAAAAGGGTGGGAAGGAGATGCTTTTCATTGCCCTTAGGGGAAGAACAGTACCTGTGAGGGGAAAAACTCGGTGCAGGAGGGAGATGCTCTTCCGTTCCCTTCTTGGGGTATAAAGGTGCCTGTGAGGGGAAAACTTGGCGAGGGAGAGAGATTCTCCATTCCTCTCCTCCAGGAGAATAAAGATGCCTGTGAAGGAAATACTCATTATGTGAGGGAGATGCTTTTCCATTCCCTTCATGCGGAATAAAGGTACCCATGAGGGGAAAAGGGCAGGATGGAGACGCTTTTCCCTTCCCTTCAGGGGAATAAAAGTACCTGTGAGGGGAAAAACTTGGTGCAGGAGGGAAATGCTCTTCCATTCTCCTTTTTGCGAGTAGAGGTGTCTGTGAGGGGAAAAACTCAGCAGGTTTTCCCCTCAGCAGGTGGAATCCAGAAGCAGGACAGGTTTTCTCCTCAGGAGGTGAAATCCAGACACCCACATTAAGGCAAATTCCAGCTTTCTGGGTAGGTTTCTCAGGGAAGCAGAGGCTGACAGGCTGGCCTGAGCCATTGTCCCTTCCCTGAGCCACCTCCTGCCACTTGTGCTTCCAATCTCCAATCCTGCATTAACACACAGGGCCATATCTGCTTAATACATTATGTCAGTTTATTGACAAAGCATCTTACAAAATCTCCAACTAAATCCAGCTTCGATTCTGTGTAGTATAAATTAAACTGCAGCAGCATTTTCCCCCAATGCCTTTAGTTTTGCAGACACAATAAGAAAAAAAACCCCACAAAACAAACAAAAAACCCCAACCCCCCAAAAAAACCCAACCAACAAAAAAAACCCCAAAAAACCACAAAACATTGCAATAAAAATTACCGAAATTAAGTAGCTTTGAAAAATGTCAAGTAACACCTGAACAGATTAGGTTTTTCTTAACCCAAAGAAATATATATATAAAAAATATAATATATATACTGGATATAATATTTGTCCTAATGGTCCAAGACTAGGAAAAAATTTCCAATCATGACCTTTTTCCCATGAAGAAGGTCTAAGATTAGATTAGAAAAATAAAGGACGGACCTTGAAATATTAGGATGTCATTGGTATTCCAAGGGTTTTTTTAAAGCAATGTTTCATAGTTAAATGACTGTTTTGATTCTCACAATTAGACTTTTTCAGCCAAAACCCAGGTCTTTCCCCCTCCCCCAGACCAGACCTTTCTGGTGAACTCCAAACAAAAGGAATAAGGAAAGGCAAAGGAAAACTCTGCAGTCTTGGTTCTGAATAAGAACCTGGTGATCCATGGGTGAAATAAGTGCCAACGAACTCCCAGCCCTTGAAGGCAGCTACAAAAGCATTTTTGTACGAGCCTGGCCGACCAAGCAGCACAGCCCCTGTGTCTGGCAAGAGGCTCTGAACACGCCATTGTGCCCACAGGGCCACGGAACTCCCCTGCCCCGTCCGCTTGTGCCCACAGGGCTCTAATTAGGCAGTAATGACTTGGGCAGAAAGCAATTTCGAGGAATTAGGGACTGCCTAGTGGAGGTTGATAGCCCATGTAGTAGTCACGTGTTGGTAACACCAGCTGGCTCACGAAAAAAAAAACCATTTTGTGCTGAGATTCCGTAACGTTAAAAATGGGATTAGAGAGTTTCAGATGGTTTTGCTCCCGTCCACGTCCTCCAGTTGGCCTGCACGGCTGTTGAGCCCTGTTCCTGCAGAATATATTTTAGATAAGCACTGCATAATATCTTTCTGAAATGCCTCGTCATCTGTTTCGTCTCAGATGATTTGCAGTTCCTTACTTGAACCGGAAGTTGACAACTGAAGTTAAGTGACCCAGAAACAGAGATGAAACATTATTATTAAACTAAAATGTCAATGGTTTTAACTATTCCAAGAATGTATATTTGGGAATATTTTGGAACTAAAAAATTATCCTTTTTATAATTTGAAAAAATGCACAGAGAACAGGACTTTTCTTTCACATCTCATTCTCTAGAACAGCACTGTCAGTGTTTAGTACAGTGTGTAGCCTACTCCTGAAAAAAGGGATTTAGAGATTAACCTTGTTGTTTGAAGAGCAGTTTGTTCTTGTACAGGTGAAGCATCCCCATCTCCTTTTCTCTTGCACCTCCTTTGGTGGTGCAAGACTCTACATAGAAGACATGGCTATGTTCAGTGATCTGTGCCCAGACCCCAGATCTGTAAATTATATGGTTACTTCATCTTCTCAGGGAACTCTTTTTGCTCGTGGCATCATTTCCTGTGCCTGTTGTTGCAAAATAAAAGCTGACAAAGAACAAACTAGAACACCAAGTGGTGCCCTAAACCTGCAGGGAGCAGGAAGGTGTAACTGCACAGCCCCACTTACCTTGTCAGAGTTGGTCAAGAGATTTCTGGTCAGTGAGCCAGGGTCTGTTTGGGGAATAAATCACCACCAGCCTGCCCTTTTTAGCTGGTGCAAGAGACAGTGGTTTTATCTTCCTCTCCTACGCAAGCAAGGAGGTGACGCTGCTCCTGCTGCTGGTTTTGCTTCCTGCTGCGTTGATAGGCCTCTGGCTGATGAGACTTCAGAAAAGGGGAAAAACACAGACCAAATGTGGATGCTTGGGATCCACAGCAGGGTTGTGAAAGCACAGTCAAAACCTGAATTTTCTGATTACTGGGCTGACTTGGTAGGACAGTGTCTAGTGAAAACTGCAAGCACAGAGTCACCTTCCATGTCCTGTGTTTGCTCCCTAATCAAAGCAAGACTATAGGATTAGATGGGGAAATAAAGGGAAGACTAAGGGCACTGAGGGGCTGAGCCTTTGTAAGCATTGCTAGGAATTCCTAAAGGTCCCACAAAGTCAGTAGACTTAAGGTTATTTCTTGTCCCACAGGAGTGGAAAGAAGGGGAAACCCCTCTGTACCGTGAATGAAGAACCGAAAATTCCACACCAGTTCTTGAAGATTGCTTCCCTGCCACTGCCTCTGCTCTGACGTGACCAAAATCCCCCATCAACCTGCAGGGAATTTGCTGAGAAAACCGTGAGTAACCTCAACATGAGAGTATTTGGAGTGAAAAATTAAGAACAAAACCATTGTTCATTTAAGAGTTTTTACACATCCCAGACATTTTGCAGTTTGTGTCCCGTTGCACCAAGAAATACGTACAGATACAGCAGACAAAACCCCCTGTGTGGGCGTGTGCCATCCTGGGCAGTTCTCTGCATCAAGTGCAGCAGAATTCCTGTCAGGCAGAATGCTCATTGCAGGGACAGGCAGTGCCCATTTCCAGCCCTGCCTACCTGACATATCCACACCTTCCTGCAGGGACTACACACACAGTACTTAAACCATGAAACTGCTGCTGAAAGTATTACATTTAACACTGGGATTCATCTGAGGAGGGAGGTGCCTGCAGCTTTTTGTTTCTTTTCAAGCAGCTGGAGTGGCAGGAAGGATGTTACTGTGGCAGGTCAGCTGATGGGATCAAAAATAGACCAAGCATTTACCTTGATTTTTAAATTGAATAGCTGTTCCTAAATATTTCCATAGGATGAGACTCTCTGTAAGAGAGTGTCAGGGAAATACTGCCTTTCAAAGAAAATTGGTTTGAACTTAAGAGTTGCAATCCAGATCTCCTCCCTGTTCAGCCAATAAAACGTTCAGCTGTGTTTCTGGCTGTCAGCTGTGAACTGTGAG